AGAGATTCATATAGATGGTATATATATCCTGGATGATATGAAACCAGTATTTTTATGTATTTGTGGTTTTATTCATTTCTTTTGTATTAACAGTACCAAATAAAGAATTTTTTAAATGTTTTTAAAATAATTTTTATATTGTTTTATTTTTAGTAATCACTTCCTTCAGCAAAATATATTTGTTACCTTATATATATATATCTGTATGTGTGTATATACATATGTATGCACGTTATAAAGGCACTCTTTGTATGTCAGTGTGTGTGTAGGATGTTTTGAGTAACACATCTATTTCGGCATCCATCCTTATCATAAATATTCACACAAAACTTTTACTCAAGTATTAGAATTTTACTCTGGTTATACACGGTAAGATATACCACAGTTTATTTATGAAATTTGTTATCTAGTACTCTGCTTTTTCAAATGCAAATAGATTGATACACCCAACCATTTTTAGTTTGCTACAATATTATCTATACTCTGATACTTTATAGCCATCACTCTTTCATCCATCTCAGTTATTATTTCATATTAGTCTGCTAACAAGTAATTTAAAAACGTATATTGCTATTAGATACAGGAATAAATTTTTCTTCTTATTTTAAAGGCCAACCAGTAAAGAACGATATAACTTCAGATTCCTCATTAATGAACAGTGCAGAAAAGAAATTAAACTCTGACCCCAATAATCAGCTTCCCAGTTGCATCACCCGTCCAAATAAAATGGTTCCATCAGAAACACAGATGACATGTTTAAGTAAGTATTTTGTGTTTTTAATTTCCCTCTGTGATTATGTAGGTATCTTTATAATTATTCTTTCATGAAATCTGTATTATCGTATACAATGTAAATTTACATTAAATTTCATCCACTCTATTTTACAATTGATGATATAGATTTACAGAGTTAAAAAGTGTATGTCCTGACTTCATATTCCAAGCTGAAAAATATTTTTCTATCTCTTGTTGATCTCTGGTTCATTGGGTAGTTGTAATATCCTAAGATGAGATTTTGGCTCAACATTACCATAACATCAAACGACTTGTAGTTCAGCAAATATTTTGAACAGTGATACTAACATGATGCAGTTCTTAATAAGTTTCATATTGTTATATCATAATTAGAAATTTACCTTATTAAATAGTTAATTGTTTTTTTCTAATTTGTCAAGATAATCGTTTTTAAGCATCAACTTGAGGCATTTTAAAATGGTTTAGGGAATACAGTACATGTACAAGTTTTGTTATTTTGTGATTAATATAATTTACGTTCTGTTAAGTTATGTTTCACCTATCTAAAGAGGTCAATAATCTGGAAATGTGCAAGAGTTCAAGCACATGGCTTTAATAGACTTGCAGTTTATAGTTTATGTGTTGGTAGAACAATTAATATGTTAATCTAATTTTAATGTATTTTTTAGTTTAACCAGAAATTAACATTCAATTAGAAAACAACTTACAATGTTTTAGGTCCAGGTGAAGACATTTCTCCTTATGCAACATTTCATACTGAAACAAGATATGATTCACAAGCAGGGGAAAATCCCAAACCATCTCAAAATAAGGTTTGATTGTTTTGTTTTAGTTTAATGTGATATTAATAGACTGTAATTGATCCAACTAAAGTCTTCTTATTTACACAATTAATTATTTGTCCCATATCTGAACAAGTGATCATCATTCGTTCAGATAAAGTAATTCAAGAAATTGCCTTTAGCTATAGTTACATGAGACTCGTATATTCAGTGCAGTATTTTGTATATTCTTCAGATGTATACAGAATAGTAATGACTGGTATCTGTACAAAAAGCTGTATAATTTAAGCAGTTGAATTTAAGTCCATATCTATTTAAAGTAGAGATCAATGTATCTAGAAATGTACTTTAAATAAATCATCACATATCTGTACTGTTCGTTAAAGTTGAAATTAAGATGAATCATGATCATAATATAATACACGTCAGTCAAATGGTACTTCAGTTATACCTCAGGAGATTTATTCTACTACAGTTTAGATTTGCCATAAATCAATATGTTAAGCAGCATCAGTGCAATATAAAAATCCCAAAGTATTAGGGATTTTAAATCCAATTATTAAACTAATGTACATACTGCTTGTATAACATCTAATGAATCGACTAACAGAATAAAAACAAATTTAATGAATTCTTATATACAACAAATCTACACACTAATCACCCTTTAACATGTTTTTATAGGGCATAATTATCCATTAATTAACAATCTAAATTATAGCTTCTTCAGGACTAGTTTTACTGCGTGTTACTGTTTCTAAGAATACTCAAAACCAGTTGCCAAAAACTGGATACAGTAATATTTTTCTTTGTCTAAAATATTGTTACGACAGCGGAAGTCGCGTGATGCTGGGAGCATGCACACTGAAGTTTCTGGAAGGATCATGAATTATTGGGGAAGCTTGAGTTTGTTCGAGGCACCCTCTTTTTTAGTATATAAGCCTGGAGAGAAAAACCAGTGCGATTGCATAGATTGATAGATATGCAGATTAATTGAAGAGACAGATAATTGAGTCAAGCGAATGGTAGGCACCATAAGTAAAGTGTGTGAATCACTGTGATTTATAGCGTGTGTTATAAAAGTTGTTAAGTTTAAAGTGACTGTGGAAATTCTGTGTATTACGAAGTTGTACCGAGAAAGAATAAACTAGTTTTAATCAAGAAAGGACCCTTATCACTGAAGTTTCTCGGAAAGAATTTCTATGGGAAATTAATAAACAAGCAGATACGCATCAATATGTACAATGTTCCCAAAGAGGAACATCAAACATTTAGCCACAATTCAAAAAGAGATACAAAACAGAATCAAATTAGGCCAATATTTGAACTATAGTTAGTATCTAAAATAAAATGATAAAAAGCATTTAATTAGGATAGTTAATAAAACAATGTTCCAAAAAGAAACATTGGTAAGGAATGGGTCATTAGATATTACACAATAGATAAGACACATTAGGTACTTGAGTTTAGGTAATATACTTTTTGATTGACTTTCTACTATAAAACACTCCCTATAATTAAATCATTTCAGAGTTCCAGAGGAATACTTCAAAAAATGACACAATTTCCGAAAAGCTCAAACGCTTGGACTCCAGGTAAGAAGATTTTTATATATGTGTAAAAATACTAATATGATTCTCATGTTTTCTGTTGTTGAGCAGATGAATAATTTCAAGCTAGGGGTCTTTCTAATCATGCTAAGCTCTCTACATGTCATGTCATGTTTGATCATTATTAAATGCCACCTCTCTTTCTACATATATCATGTATTGTCTAGATGTTTGATCATTATTAAATTCAGTTTTTGTTCCTATCTATTGTGTAGTATTTACATATTTGATTATTATTAAATGCCACCTCTCTTTCTATATATATCATGTATTGTCTGGATGTTTGATCATTATTAAATTCAGTTTTTGTTCCTATCTATTGTGTAGTATTTACATGTTTGATCATTATTAAATGCCACCTCTGTTTCTATATATCATATAGTGTCTAGATGTTTGATCGTTATTAAATACCATCCTTGTTTTTATATGTCATATAGTGTCTAGACATTTGATCATTAATAAATACCACCCTTGTTTCTCTATGTCATATAGTATTCAGATGTTTGATCATTATTAAATACAACCCTTGTTTCTCTATGTCATATAGTATTCAGAAGTTTGATCATTATTAAATACAACCCTTGTTTCTCTATGTCATATAGTATTCAGATGTTTGATCATTATTAAATACAACCCTTGTTTTTATATGTCATGCAGTGTTCAAATACTTGATCATTATTAAATGCTACCCTTGTTTATATGTCAAGTAGTATCAAAAAGTTGGATCAATATTAAATCCCACTTTTGTTTCTATATATCTTCTATTGTCTAGATGTTTGATCAATATTAATCATTATCATTGTTTCTATGTGTCATATAGTGTCTAGAGTTTTGACCATTATTAAATACCATCATTGTTTCTATATGTCATATCGTGTCTTGACGTTTAATCATTATTAAATACAACCCTTATTTCTGTGTCATGTAATGTCTAGATGTTTGATTATTATTAAATACAACCGTTGTTTTTATATGTCATGTGGTGTCTTATTTAGTAGCAATAATTTTATGATTAAACTGACATGGTGAAAGCTTTAAAATTTTCATTCCATTCTTCCTAAGATTTTCAAAGTTCACAGCTTATTCCTGCTGTATAAATCTTACCCTCTTGTTCTCTTCTGTTGTTATCACATTTCACAACTTGTTGCTGCTGAACTGCTAGCTGAAGTTCTTGAGTAGTGGCATAGCGGCCTGTATATGACACATCTAGAAACAATTAGAGCAAGTTATCAAATGATTATCATGCATTAGGGAATCAAAACAGTACGATACCCAGACACACGACTAATATTTTTTAATTTTAACATCCTGACGCTAAACAACCAAATTTCATTTACGTGAACAACTTCTGAAACAAATCATCAAACACTTAGATTCAACTTGACATGTAGAGAAACTAACTGTATGTGGCAAACTAGAACAAGGGTAGCATTTAATAATGACACAACACCTATACACTACATTACATAGTTTACGGGAAAAAAAGGCAAAATTTAATCACGAACAAACATATAGACACTAAAAGACGTATAGAAACAAGGTTGGCATTTAGTAATGATCAAACATTTGGACAAATTATTGTGTATAATATACTTCCTGAAAATCCACAAATAATTAGATGATTTCTTCAAATTTTCTCACCTATGATTCGCTCTATTGAAAATCATTTAAACCAACCACATAAAACATAGCTAAGTTGACTGACATATCACAAAATTCTAAAAAATTAATATATCTAGTTTTGAGCATTTCCTACATCTGTTTAATTTAAGTCTGTTAAGTACAGTATAACTTATTTTTATTTCTAGATTTAGTGTTTAACTAATAATAGTTAGCCAGATGGAAGGAGTTACATACATTATACATATTACTTTGTTGCGTAAGCGAAGTCACATGACTAGTGTGACGCCACGTTTCTAGAACTATCTTGTACCTTGGCGAATGCTCTAGCATTTACTAGATATAGGGTAGTCCGGTATATAAAAGAGGGTGACAACGTGACTCAATAATGTGTGTGAGTAATTGAACTGCAGTCAGAAGTATTGTTGACGTTCGAAAATAAGTGTATCGTAAAGTTGTATTCGGAAAGAATAAACCAGTTTTATTAAGTAAAGACTTGTGTCGCTAAAGTTTCGTCGGAACGAAGTTACGGAAAGTTAATTAACAAACGGAAACGTAACAAATTGGTGTCAGAAGCGGGATGTCTTACTCCCTCCACTGTTGATGGCCTATAGAACAGCAGAGCATGAAACCACTGGATACACTCCAGTAAAGTTGATGTTTAGTCGGGAACTTCGGTTGCCAGTGGATCTGTTAACAGGACGCCCACCTTATGAAGAGTTGCCTGAGAATGTGTCAGAGTTTGTGAAAGTGTTATCGGAAAGGATGGATGATATTCACCTTCAAGTGCGTACAAACTTGAAAACGTCTGCTGATTCGATGAAGTTAACTTATGATAAGAGATCTACTGAAGTCAACTTTGTACCAGGAAACAAGGTATGGTTGTATAATCCCAGGAAGACCAAAGGGAAGTCTCCTAAGTTGTCTTCTCCATGGGAAGGCCCATATGACATAGTGGATCGTCTCTCAGACGTGACTTTCCGGATAAAATGTGGTAGGCGAGGTGGGCCAAGGGTGGTGCATGCCAACAGGTTTTGGCGTTATCACGGTCCAGGACATTTCAGTTGGGACGAAGTGGACAACAGAACAAATGACGCTGCCTAAGACGTGCCACCGTCGAAGAAG